GTGATGCATGGATCAGTAGCTGTATGTCTGTGGCTCATTAAGAGAGCGAATCTTTTTGATTTTATCTTGATATATAGCCATATGTCTGTGGGAATTTTTGTGTTAGGCAGGTAATTACTGGTTGGATGCATTTTTAGTCGAGGTAATTTTTAGTTATCTTTGGATGAAGGCTTACACAGTTGAGGGTCCTTGTTATACAGGAGCATGTTCTTTCTGGTGGCCATGGACTTATGGTGCAAGGCTATGACCCAATAATAAAGGCTCTTGCAAAAGATATTGATGTACGCTTGAATCACAGGTATGCGTGCTTGTACCATACCAGAAAAATGTGTTTACTTCAGTCGGTGTTGGGTGCATTGTGAGTTATACAAACAAAAAAATTGACATAATGCCTTTGGGGTAGCGACATATATACCTTTTGATAAGGTGAAAGACATACTAAATCGGAACTCGCATCTTCTTTGCTATGAATTTCTTAGTTATGTTTCTTAATGCCCTTCCTGCCACCTTTTGTTAAATTTTAGAATTAGTTTCTTCAGTCTTTGACAAGCTTTAATTTTTGTGATTATAAGCAGGGTTACAAAGATATTAAATGGGCATAACAAGATGATGGTCACAATTGAAGACGGAAGAAACTTCGTTGCTGATTCAGCTATAATAACAGTACCCCATGGGATTCTTAAAGCCAAGATGATTGAGTTCGAACCAAAGTTGCCTGAGTGGAAGGTTGATGCAATTTCAGATCTTGGGGTGGGCAATGAAAACAAAATTGCCTTGCGATTTGAAACAGTTTTCTGGCCAAATGTAGAGCTCTTAGGCGTTGTTGCACCAACTTCTTATGCATGTGGTTATTTTCTCAATCTTCATAAGACCACAGGCCATCCGGTCCTTGTCTATATGGCTGCTGGAAGGTTTGCATACGACCTTGAAAAATTAACTGATGATGGCGCAGTTAGTTTTGTTATGTTGCAGCTTAAGAAGATGTTACCTGATGCAACTGATCCAGTAAGTTCATTAGTTTCAGCCAGTTTTGGTCAATCTATGTATTAGTTGTTCTTGGAAATTTTGTCATATCTAACTATCAGAAATGGGACAAAATCTCTTCTCAATGTAGGTGTTCTGTAGTTGATATTGATACGAATATTGTCGACTTACCTTTGATTGGTTTGTCTGTAACAGGTTCAATATCTTGTATCACGTTGGGGAACAGACCTGAATTCTCTTGGATGCTACTCGTTGGATTTGGTTGGAAAGCCTGGAGATATATATGATAGGCTTCGAGCACCTTTGGGCAGTCTTTTCTTTGGAGGTGAAGCTGTTAGCATGGACCACCAAGGATCTGTGCATGGAGCTTACTCAGCTGGAGTTATAGCTGCTGAGGACTGTCAGAGACATCTCCTAAATAAATTTGGTAGACTGGAAAGGCTTCAGCATGCTTACATTACTGATGAAGTCCTCGAAGCAACAGTTCCCCTGCAAATCTCAAGGATGTGAACCATTTTTTTTTATACATCAAGAAAAATAATATTAATAAGGCTTTACCATTGTTGGTCTAATTCTGTCTAACATTTCTTCCCAAATTGCAAAACACAGACGGGCTTTCTAACAGTAGGCCCCAAAATTAACATGGTAAAACGTTGGTAGTTTGAAGCCCTGATTTCCCTCAATGTACCATTGCTAGGCCTGTAAACAAATCGGATTTGAGGTGAATTGATATATTCCAAGTTCGAATCAATTTATAATGGGATTATTGAATTCTGATTATATTTAAATTATATCGATCTCATGTTTTTTTAACATAGGTTTTTGGGGTCAAGACCTCTTAACATAGGTTAAGCTTGTGAAAACTAGCATCATGGATTCCCATCCTACATCGTGGAAGCTAAATCTGAAATGAAGGTATCGTACCACAGTAGGGGGAAGAAGACATTAGACACTAGGGCCACTAGAATGTATGTGGTGCTAATTGTAGTTTGGTTTATGTCCTATGGACAAATAGTTGTTGCCGGCAGTGGTCACTCTCACTTTGGCGGTGGCCCCATTCAAAATCTCCCTACATTCATTGCTAAGTTGCAGCCAAATCAATTTAAGTGGTGCAGTTTGATTTGGTTTGATTTAAATCATTTCGAGAAACCAAACTATTAGGACCAATGCTCTTACTTTCATGTGAAATGAAACATCACAACTTTAAACTTGAAAGTTGAAAAAAATTCATCACATTAATTTCAAGCACATAGAAAACCAACATTGCAGTCACCATCCTAATTTCTAAATCTCTAAGGGCTCGTTTGGTATACAGGATTGGCTTGGACTGGCTTGGACTAAATTTAGTACCATGTTTGTTTTATCTAATCCTAGTCTTAGATGGGATTGCTAATACCGGGCCCCCCAAAAACACCTCCTTAGGAGGGGACTACTAATCCCATGTGAAAAGGGAGGATTAGTTAGTCCCAATGCTCACTAATGTATAAAATGCATATATTATATTGTAAAATTAATAACATATATTATTATTATTAAACTTACTTACACATATACTATAATGTACATATATACATGTATATACACATAAATATATCATATATGTATATATGTATATATATACATACACATATATACATATAATATATATATATATATATATATATATAAAATATACATATACATATATACATGTATATTATTATTATAATATACCCATATACACATATACATATTAATATTATAATAATAGCATACTCCTGATCTCTTGGACTACAGGGGTCCAAGAGATTTGTGGTCACTCACCGTTGGATATAAATTCAACGGTTCACTCACTCTTGCACTTCTTTTAAAAAATAATTTTGAACCATTGGATGACCACAATCTCTTGGACTCCTGGGGTCCAAGAGATCGGGAATGTACCTATTTCTCTCTACAAAGACACC